GAATGTCTCTAGAAGAAACTCAGGCACTGTATCTGTTACGACAGGTGGCGCATGTCCTGGAAATCCTAGTTTCTCTAAACGCAAGTTTCGATAGAAATATAAAGATATAGGAGTGAGAGAGATTAACTGGGGTTAGAAGAAACCCGAGGCAAAGCGTGGAAGCCGATCTCTCCAAGGAGCCGGGTCCCTGCTCTGCGCTTTGTCCAGTCCTGCTGAGCACGACAAACAGAGCTGGGCTAAGCCGAGAAGAGGGCAGCCAGCCGGCTACAGTCGGCGTCTTCACCGGAGGAAAGCGCGCACGCGGCGCGTTAGGATTAGAGGACTGGCGGCCCCTCAGAGTCACCCGGCGCAGCACTCATCTGGTCCCCCGACAAGTAACGAGCTACCTCTGGCGCGCGGGACTAGGGCTCCTAACACGTGTTGCGAGGAGACCTGAAGGCGAGGCCCGGATGCGCTGGATCTCTCCTCGGAGCTTCGGAGTTGAGCACGTGGCAGGCATGGGTGTGTGGGCCCCCTCTCCCGGCCCTTCCCACTGTGCCGACACGCCTCCAAATCCCGCCCTAGCTTCTCTGCTCCTCCCCTTTGTGTGCCCCCCACAACTAGAAAACGCATTTTCCCCAGTGTGGTGTGTTTGGACGCTCCAGCCCCGCTCACAACCTGGGGAGACCCAAGGCTGACCACTGATCGGTGGATGCAGGAGAAGGCGGTGGGGGCGCTCGGGCGCACGTGCTAGCGCTCTGAAGCGCTTGATCTGGCCAAGCGGCGACTGGAACCTGTTGCGGCCTCCAGCCCTGTGTGACATAGAACAACTGGGGAAGAAACAGGGAGCAGCTGGGGTGGGCAGGGCAGGAAATGGAGGAAACAGAGTTAGTCCCAGCGAGTCCGTCCGAATTGCTCCCAGGATCTCACGGCAAAGTCTCTGGGTGCAACCTGAAGAGTCAAACTCTAAAGTCTCCAAGACGCAGTGGGCAGAGCACCAGAGCTTGCGTCTCCACGTTCGCCGCAGCCGAACCACAAGCAAACACACGTCCTCTCTAGTGATCCTGGGACGAAAATCAGACCCCGCTGAGAGCAGGGCACCCAGTGAGAAGGTGTGGGAAGTAAGAGGCTGGACCCATGCTCTCCGGAGTTTTCCTCCACTGTCTGTTGGGCCCGGAGCGCACTTCGGGGTTGGTGACCAGGCGTGCGGTTCTCCTTATGCCCCTGGCGTGGGATGGGGGCCCTGTGTGCCTGCTCCTGGACCGCTCCAGGAGGCGCCCTCGACCGAAGCAGGACTTTCTCTAAGGAAACACAGAGTCAAAGTCGGAGGAAAGACCTTTCGGGCCCCAGCGGTCGTTTCCAGTCGTGCTCAGGAAACATAATAAGGGAAAATGGCCTTAAATGACAGCGTCGCCATCCTAAATGGTTGTGTGTAATATCCAATTTGGGGTTTCCAGTGAAATTAAAAAGTAAAAATGAAAATCAGATTTTTTGTGTTTGTTTTATTAAGAACGAATTACTAAAAAATGATGGCCCTGTTTAGAATACATGTCTTGCTTTACCAGTGAAGTCATCCAGTATCAACTAAACCTTAAAAATGTAACTATGCGAAACGCGACGGCTCTGGTTAGAGTTCTGTCAGATGCACGGATCTAAGCAGAACCTTTCCCGAAGACTGTTGCAGCCGGGTGCGCTCATTTAGTCGTGGCTGAGACCTATGAGGAGGAGAAGGAAGGGTTGTCAGGTCCCCCAACCCCGTTCCTCCTCTGTGGCACTCTAAAACTGAGTCAAGTGCCGGCTCGCACGGTGCCCGCGACGCCTAAATTGCTGAGAAATTTCCAGGCGCACCCACGAAGCGACGGTTCCTGTTCCTGGATAGTGGGGACAGGTGGGGGGCAAAAAAGCCATAAAACCCTTTTGGAGGAGGATGTCTTGGAGATACTCCCAGATGTCTCTTCAACTGTCACAATAATACTGTGTGTGGGGGGGGGGGATTAAATCCTCAGGACTAGATACCTTCCTTTCTCTTCCCGCCTTAGTAAAACTTTGTCTCCAATTTTGAGGTGGCTGCAGGCAGGCACACACGGCCTGGAGACAGGTGCCTTTCACGGAGAGAGGCGAGGCGAGCCTGGGAGACCCCAGCCCTTACTCTCCGCAGTCACCTCCGCGCTGCCGCGCGGCGGATAAAAAGGGAAACGGACGTGTGTGCGGAGCTAGGCAGGATGCTGGTGGCGCGAAAATGCGCAACACGCGGTATGGCTAGAAGTGCTCTGGCGTCGGCACTCTGTACAGGGCCTGGAGGGATGGTAATGGATCCTGTACCGGATAACTCTCTGATCAAAATATGACAATGCAAGAAAACTTTTCCCTCACAGACCTGTTTGTATCTTAGAAGCATTCACCGCCGGCGCCTTGGTTTAAGCGAACTAGGTAATTGGGTATTCATACTGACGCACTGACACGCGCAAAGCCAAGAGATTCTCAAGGCAAAGTGAAATTGAACCTTCAATTGACATTCTTAAGTTGGCAAGAATATGTTTCTCTTTCTCGGGCTCCTTACACGCTGCGAACCGGTGTCGCCTAAGACAGGATCCGTATTTTTAGTGGCGGGAGCACCCAAACGCTTTAGGGATGGAGTCGAGCACCAAAAAGAAATACACAAGATAAGGTCATTGGGTGCGGCTGTCATTTCAATCAGCTCCCTGATCCAGGCGTCTCTCTCTTGATAGAAGCAAGACCAGAGAATCTCTCTCTCTCTCTCTCTCTCTCTCTCTCTCTCTCTCTCT